CTTCGACTTTGTTGTTGATAGACCTGGCATTGCACAGCACCAATGACGGAGGGGGGTTCCCCATCCTGGCCCCACTGCCAACCACCCTCGGGATGAGTCGTAGGCAATGGTGGTTCTTGTGGAGGAAATGGCTGGAGGGTGGAGTCTATGACATTACACTAGTCCAAAGTTTCTCCCCTCCTCAAATCCCACCCTCTCCAGGCTCCACCCCTCAAATGTCCAGGAATTTCCCAACCTGGAGTTGGCAACCCTATTTCCTTCCCACCCAACAGCCAACCTACCTTTATCTGCCTCTCTGTCTTCTGCTTTCCATCTCCACCCCCCAGCCTCTACCTAGGAAAATTACAGTCTTTCTCCACAGTGGGGACCAAAGCGGCTTTCATTATTCCCTCCTCCTTTTTAACTGCACAACAACCCTGTGAGGTTGCTTAGGCTGAAATATGTGACTGGTCCAAAATCACGCAGTCAGCTTCCACTGCAAGATGGGGATCTGAACCTGGGTCTTGCAGACCCTACTTTGACGCTCTAACTGCTGCACCTCACTGGCTTTCATAGGGTGGCTGCTGATGAACGGTAGCAAGCAGCCAAGGCTAGGTGAGTCATGCAAATCAGGGGGGACCTGGCAACCCTAGACTACTGCCAGGCCTAGAGTTGCCAACCTCCAAATGGGACCTGGAGACCCCCCCCCCAGAATTACAACTGGACTCTAGACAGCAGAGAAGTCTTGTACGGCTGTTTCCCACCACACTTTTATTGACCGAGCCAGTTAGAAGCTCAACCCAACAATCTAATCTATCACCGTTGATGCCTGAAGCAGATCCCTGCAGAGGCTATTTCAAAAGGTTTTGAGGGGAATTTACCCATCCCTGAAGGGATTTTTTTAGTTTTTGGATTTTTCTACAAACCCAGGAAGTCTACTGACTATGTAGGAAAAGCTGTTGGGGGAGAGTGAGCCCCCTGTTTGTGGAAGTAAGTATCCGCACAGGAAAAAAAACCTCTTAAAAATAGAATAAGGATATTTTTCTTAGAAAAATGGAATAATTTATTATCTTTTGGAATTTAATATATGTTCAGAACATTTGTCTTTAGAGGTGTTGTGTTTTTTATTATGGTAATATGGTTTATTATTGGATGCATACATAAAATTATTTTGTCAAGGATGACATGGTTCTTTGTGTGTGTGTGTGTGTACACACACACACATATGTATATCTTTTAAAATTAAATTGCCCTATTATGGGCATTGTGATAAAGTTGTATAAATCTGTTGTGCAATACCAACACAGAGGTCAGGGTTGGATTATTTGCCTGCTTAAAGGCATTTGAGGCACTATAAAACCAGAGGTTTTAAATATAAGCAAACTTTTATAAAGTGACTGTAGCTGAAACATAAGAACATAAGAGAAGCCAATGTTGGATCAGGCCAATGGCCCATCCAGTCCAACACTCTGTCACACAGTGGCCAAAAATACCAGGTGCCATCAGGAGGTCCAGCAATGGTGCCAGGACACTAGAAGCCCTCCCACTGTTGCCCCCCTCCAAGCACCAAGAATACAGACCATCACCTGCCTCAGCCTGAGAGTTCCTATAAGAACATAAGAGAAGACAATGCTGGGTCAGGCCAATGGCCCATCCAGTCCACCACTCTGTGTCACACAGTGGCCAAAAGCATCAGGTGCCATCAGGAGGTCCAGCAGTGGGGACAGGACACTAGAAGCCCTCCCACTGTTGCCCCCCTCCAAGCACCAAGAATACAGACCATCACCTGCCTCAGCCTGAGAGTTCCTATAAGAACATAAGAGAAGACAATGCTGGGTCAGGCCAATGGCCCATCCAGTCCACCACTCTGTGTCACACAGTGGCCAAAAGCATCAGGTGCCATCAGGAGGTCCAGCAGTGGGGACAGGACACTAGAAGCCCTCCCACTGTTGCCCCCCTCCAAGCACCAAGAATACAGACCATCACCTGCCTCAGCCTGAGAGTTCCTATAAGAACATAAGAGAAGACAATGCTGGGTCAGGCCAATGGCCCATCCAGTCCACCACTCTGTGTCACACAGTGGCCAAAAGCATCAGGTGCCATCAGGAGGTCCAGCAGTGGGGACAGGACACTAGAAGCCCTCCCACTGTTGCCCCCCTCCAAGCACCAAGAATACAGACCATCACCTGCCTCAGCCTGAGAGTTCCTATAAGAACATAAGAGAAGACAATGCTGGGTCAGGCCAATGGCCCATCCAGTCCACCACTCTGTGTCACACAGTGGCCAAAAGCATCAGGTGCCATCAGGAGGTCCAGCAGTGGGGACAGGACACTAGAAGCCCTCCCACTGTTGCCCCCAACCCCCAAGCACCAAAAATACAGAG